TTGCCCCTGATCCCAGTCCGTCTTCCCCCTATCTCCGAGCCGCACGGGCGCCTCAGCACGAGTATAACCCCCACACTTCTTACCCCGGCAACACCGAGCTACCAACAAATGGCCTGCTTGCTCACGAAAAAAACCAAAAAACGCTCACTGGGATCAAGTGGATTCTGACTCCTGGGGACCTTCTAGGACAGGCAGAACTGCCTGTGTGAGCGTCCGAGACTAACTGCTGAGGGCCGTGAAAAGTCCCATTTTCCTTCCCTGGCGCGGCTGGCGGTTTCGAACTGCTGATCTGGCAGCTAGCAGCCCAATGTGTCCCCATTATGCCACTGGGCTCCTTACCTCTTAGGCATAAGTACCTGGAACATTCCCCCACCTGCTTGGCAAATCCACGCCAAAATTGTGACCTCAACTCCCTAAGTTTCTCCTCTGACTTCTCATCAACAAGGGCGCTTCAAAAAGTTTGTGGGAAACATTCATAATCTTTTCATTGCCTTTTCCCTATGAACTTTTCGAAGCCCCCTCTGAACCACCAGCCCTTGGACCAGACACCAGTCACGCTGCATCTCAGCGTACAGATGAAGCCTAGGGCGCCGGGTTTGAACCCAGGGACCGGCCTGCTGGCCAAAGCTGACTGGCAGGGATCACATCTGAACATAACTAGCAGCATGCTATAGAGGGTCCTGGACTCTGGGCCACATAGTGATTCATTTATTCTCCTACAAAATATGAATCAGGGAGCGAAGCAGACAGTAAAGGCCAGGCTCTAGAAAGAAGTTTTTGTCTTCACGTGTATCCATCACGTGAAATCATGTGGTTGAAAGAATTTACCCTGCAGAGGATCTCAAACCTTGGGTATGTAAATTCACGTGGGGAACGTGGTGTCCATTGATGCTATGGCAAATGGCTGTCACTAGGGGGCACTACTGTCTAACCAATACTATAAAGGACTGACTAGTCCGGAGAGACGAAAGTTTTCCACCTGAGCAAAGGTTTATTTCAGAGGAAGAAGCGTGTTACGGTGTGGTTAGTGGAAACGAGGAGGGTCGTAGGCAGGGAAAACATGCATGCCCCGGAAGGAAAAGAGCACACAGTATATATTTATTTTGCTATGCTAATGGCCTGGACATGTTATCAGGAGCAAGACCCGCGGCAAGATGGACGGGCACAGTGGCTGCAGCAATGGGCCCAAACATACGAACCGTTGTAGGGTGGCGCAGGGCCGGCCGTGTTTTATTCTGTTGTGCACAGGGTCACTGTCACTTGGAACAACAAAATTACAGACAAT